GCCACTGATTCAGGTCCATTGTAAGTCCCAAGGTTGGCAGAGCATAGCAGGCTGCTGAGCAATGACATGGCTACATGCAGGGTCCAAGCGTGCCACAGGCTAGAGACCGTTCCCAGAGCTGTTTCTTACATACAGGAAGCAGACCACATCCCAAAGGCAGCTACTCAGCTGCTTGTGGTAGATCCCACCATGGAGTTGATTGCCAGTCTCGTGATGGGGAATAACTACCACCAGCTGCCCAGCCCCTCAGCCAGGCCCAGCCAAGATGACCCACAAACATAACAAGAACAGGCTGGAACAGCTGTTGGGTGACAGAGCCAAGAAGAGAAGTTGAGCCCCACGGCAGACGATTTCACAGAGGTGAGCCCATTTCTTCATCTCCCACTGCTGCAGGCCTGAGGTTTCCATGAGACCACGCACCCCAGAGTCAAACTTGTCTTGCAATGGACTCCATTCATTCATTCCTTGAACAAGGATGTGCTGGAGGCACAGCTCTGAGCATACAGCAGGTCTCATGGGGAGACAGACAAGAACAAAGAAGGAAACACACACATAAGAGCAGGTCGTGTGTGCTGTGGAGACTAAACCCTGACGTGAAGTGGGTGACGGGAGCAGGGGGGTCACAGCCACAGGCAGGAAGGCTCTGGAAACAATAATAAGAAGAAATATGACCGTCAACTAAAAACAGACGGAGCACTTACTATGGGCGAAGCGACCCTCCTTGTGGGGAACGTTAGCTCATCTGACAGATGAGGGAATTGAGGCCCAGCGACAGAGACCAAAACAAACAAACAAACAAACAAACTCATTCCCGTTTGAGTTGATTCCAACTCATACAGACTCCCGTTCGGTTTCTAAGGCTGTGAATCTTTTTCTTTTTTTTTTAATTTGTTTTGTGATTCGGGTGAAAGTTTGCAGAGCAGATTCATTTTCCATACAGCAGTTCATACACATTTTGTTTCACGACATAGACTGCAGTTCCCCACAATGTAACAGCTCTCTTCCCACTTCCTCCCTGCGGCTACCTCTTCCCTGTGTCCTTCTTTCCTATGCATTCCTGCCCCCTGAGCTGTCTCCCTGTGCAAACACCGCCCTTCTGTTCTTCCACGATTGACCTCTAAGGAGTGTATCTACCTGATGTAAATGTTCACCCCATATACCTCTCTGTTATTTGGCTGGAAGCCACAGGAGTGAGTTCCATTCCAGACCTGAAGGGTAACTAGGGGCCATAGCCTTGGGGGTCTCACCAGGCTCTGTCAGATCAGTAAGCCTGGTCTCTCTCTCTCTCTCTTTTTTTTTTTTTTCTTTCATGATTTTGTTCCACATTGTTCTCCCACTGTCTCCAGGATCTCCTGCACTGATCCCTTTCCGAGTAGGTGACAGTGGTAGCCGGGCACCACCTAGTTCTGGTCTCATGCTTATGTGGGCTGAGGTTCTCATGGTCCACTAGTCTCTTGCACTAATTGTTTCCATGCATCTTTGATTTTCTTCATTCTCTGCTCTGGATAAGGAGAGACCCATCGTTGCATCTAGATGGATGCTTGCAAGCTTTGAAGATCCCAGTCACTACTCACCAAAGTAGGATGTGGAACAATGTTTTTATGTAGTAGGTCATAAGGCTGTAAATCTTTAGGAAGCAGACTGCCTCACCTTTATTCAGTGGGGCAGCTGGTGGGTTTGAACCACCGACCTTCTGGTTAGCAGCCAAATGCCTTAACCACCACATCACCAGAACTCCTTAGTGACATACAGGAGGACCATGGAAATGTCAAGTCCCTGAATCCAAGGGTAGGGAGCATTTCTAGAAGAAGACCAACTTGAGCAGAAAGGCATGATTCAGTTTCTCCCTTCGGGAACGGAATTACCAGTAACTCCTGCCTTGTCCGCTAGGGGGCGACGGCGCCTCACAGTAGGCTACAGGATGAGTCTGTTAGAGGAGCAGCCCTGCCAGAACCCACAGTGAACAAGCCCCAGAAGGCGCTAAGTGGCCCTTTCTCTCTCCCGACTCGTTTCCACGCCGCAAAAGTGCAGCCAGGGCCCCGCTGCTCAAGGTTAATGTAATTCGGAGCTTGTCCACATTAGTTAAGAAGGGAAAAGCATGTTGCACTTCCTTCTGCATTAGTTCCAACTTTGATTATTCTACGCTCAATCCCAAAAGTGAATCTTGGAATCCCGGAGTCGAATTTCCACGCTCCCAGCGTTGCGTGTTCGAATCTTCCCGCTTTCCCCATTCCGACTCCGCCGCCTTCTTCCGAAC